TCAGGCGGCCAGCCTGCGGATGCACCAGAGCCTGGATGACCGAGAGCTGGCCCTGCGCCGGGAGCTCTCACAGCTGGGCACCCGGCTGCAGGGCCTGAGCGTGGCCGGTAGGGGCAGCTGCTGCAGCCAGCTGGCCTTGGTCAGCGCCCGCATGGACAGCCTCGAGAGCAACCTGCAGGCCGTCACCGAGGTCCAAAGGGGCCATGGCCCCAGCACCAGCGATGAGCTCACCCGGCTCTCTGCTGCCATGCTCGAGGGGGGTGTGGACGGATTTCTGGAGGGCCTGGAGACCCTCAACGGGACAGAGAGTGGAGGGAGGGGCTGCTGTCAGGGGGTGAAGGAGGGGGGAGGCGGCGGGGGCGGTTTCAGGACCCTGCTGGAAGAGCGTGTGCACAGCCTGGAGGAGCGCCTGCTGACACTGGCTGGGGAGCTAAGCCGTGACAGCACCCCGCCAGGCAGGCCGGCAGGGCCCCTGGTGCAGACAGAACTCGCTGTGCTGGAACAACGGCTGGTTTCGCTGGAGACCTCATGTACCCCCAGCACCACCTCAGCTGTTCTGAACAACCTCGTGGCAGAGGTGAAGGCCTGGCAGAGCCAGATGGAGGTCCTCCTCCGCCAGGTGGCCAGCCACACAGCCTTACTCCAGCAGCTCAATGGCACTGTGGCCGAGGTCCAGGGGCAGCTGGCAGAAGCCACGGGCAGCTCACTCCAGGGCGAGATCACCCTGCTCAAGGTCAATCTGAACTCCGTGAGCAAGTCACTCACGGGCCTCAGCGACTCCGTCAGCCAGTACTCCGATGCCTTCTTAGCCACCAACACCTCCCTGGATGAGCGGGAACGCAAGGTGGAGGCCGAGGTCCACGCCATCCAGGAGCAGGTCAGCAGCCAAGGCTCACGGCTTCGCGCTGGCCACAGGCAGGTCCTGAGCCTGCGGGGGGAGCTGGAGCAACTCAAGGCCGGTGTGGCCGATGTGGCTGGCGGGCTGAGCCGCTGCCAGGACACAGCCCAGGAACTCCAGCTGGCAGTGGGCCATTTCGATCAGAGGGTGGCCCAGGTGGAGGGTGTGTGTGGGAAGCTGGGCCCGCTGGCTGCAGACCTGAACAGCTTGCCCACTGATTCCCTCAGGCCCAGGGAGGGCCTCTGGGGCCACGTGGATCAGCTGAATCGCACGCTGGCCCGGCACGCGCAGGACATCGCCCGCCTCCGGGATGACCTGCTGGACTGCCAAGCCCAGCTGGCTGAGCAGGGGCGGCCAGGGCGGGCCAACTAGGCAGGCTGGACGGGACCCAACACCCAGATCCTACCAACCCTGGGGCCATCACCCCGGCGCCCAGACCATGCTTCCCAGCCTCCCTTGGCCATTGCAGAGGCCATTTTAGAGGCTACTGAAGGAACAGTCTTGGTCCAGCTCCACATGACTGTCTCAGACATCAACACCCGTGCTCACTGCCGCACCAACTGGACAGTTCAGGATAGTGGTCAAGGCGAGTACAACATGCCTGCAGGCAAGGGTGCACCTAGGAGACCTCACAATCCAGTTTGCTACTTGCCCTTCTGCAGACATGAGTTGGCATCTGGGCAAAGACTGCAGGTCCATCCTCAGACAGTGGCCTGTCCACATCTCCCTTTGCCCACGGGCAATAGGCCCGAGCCCATGGAGGCTCCTCGTTCCTTTGTCCCCTTAGCTTCTCTCCCCTGTCATCTGCAGGAAGGTGCTGCCCATTGGCACCGTCCTCACACCTGGCAGCTTCACAGATGCTATTTCTGAACCAAGGACCAGAGGCTTCCACCACCACAGGTCCTTCCGGGCAGAACGGAAGCACAGACTCAGGCACGAGTTCTCTTTATTCCTTTTGACCCTCCCACAGGTGAGGGCTTAGGGAGCTGTCACTTCCCAGAGGACAGGATTGGGCCCAGGTGGTCTGTTTGGCGATCCCGTGCAATTTATGCGCTTCCTTCTCTTCCCCAAAGATGTTTTCAGGCACTCTGGGCCCCACATAGTCCTCTCCTTTTCGTGTGTGTGGGGAAATCTTTAGGGCCACTCTCATGTACGTCATGGCCTGAATGAGGCCAAGCCCTGGGCAGAAGGCCATGGCTGGAGGGAGAGGGCTCCAGCCCTAGTTTCCAGAATCCTTGCAAACCCAGCCCCGCCTGGATGTTCATGAAGTCATGAGGAATTCAGGTAGAACATGACCAAGGAACAATCTGAAAATACAAGCGTTCATCTGGCCTGCACAGTTCCCGGAGACCCTGATGCCTGTCTGCTGAGGCGCCTGGCCTCCGTTTCCCCACAGCAGCAGGGGCCCTCCTGTGCTGTTTTGCAGGTTCCAGTAGCCCTGCCTTCCGGCTTCTCGACATTTGGAATTCTGCCCTCTACTTGGTGCTGTTGGGGGAGGGTGGGCCTGGATTAAAGCTTTTAGCCTTTCTAAACTAAAGGTACTTTCTTCCCCAAAGACAGTGGGAGGGATGACTGCAGTGGGTGTCAGTCCTGCTTCCCACAGCTCCTTGGGCAAGAGCTTGCTCTGCAGCTGTGTGGGCACTGAACTTGGGGAGGGCGGCAGGCCAACCCCACCTGCTTGGCAGGATTTGGGGCTGCATCCTCAGGGGACATGCTGAGGTGTCTGGCCCCAGAGCTGTGGGAACAGGCCAGGGCTATGTAAGGGTCTGGCCTCAGAGGCTCCCTGAAAGGGTGGGGGGACATTGTGTTCCTCCCAGATGCTAATCTATGCCCCACTGCTGCCGCCAACCTTCCCTGCGCCTACAGCTCTCAAGTCTCAGTGGGGCCTCCCTCTTCTCTCTGTCCCATCAGGAGTTGAGGCAAAGTCTCAGAGTGATGGGGACAGAGACCTCAAGGGCTCAGAGAACGCGGCAAGAGCCCAGGTGACAGTCATTTAATTGCCACAGACCAGCTGAGGCCGGGAACAGCTGCCCCACCCCCTGCAGCTCCGCTGGCAGAGGCAAGAGACAGGATAGGGAGGAGAGAGGTTGCCAACCAGCCCTCATCTCCCCTCCTCCACGTCCGGTTGGTCCTGTGGCACCCAGCTTCCAACGCCCGATGTCCTGCGATTCCCAGTCAGTTCTGGGCCAGGCCAGGGAGGAAGGGGTGTCAGGCCAGGGTGTCAAGGTCCACAGTGGTCAGTGGCTCCCGCCAGTAGCAGAAGCTGCTGTATTCAGGGTTGGCCAGGTCTGTGCTGGGGCCACGGTCCAAGGGCGGGAAGAGGAGCTCAACCACCTCGCTGAGCCGCTTGTACCTGTGAGCAAAACAGGGCTGGCACTGAGGGTCTGAGCTGCCGCCAGGCCACAGCCCCTGTCACATCAGGCCACCTGCACCCCAGAGGCCCCTCTGCAGAGCTGGAATTGGGGCCCAGGCAGAGGCTGGGGTGTGGGGACATGGCAGGGCCTGGGGACACAGGGCAGGGTTTGGCCTCACGTGGATTTGTGGTTCTTCATGGGCTCCTGGATGAGCTCTCCCCGGGGGTTGACTGTGAAGATCCGAGATTCAGGTAGGCCCACCTGCCGGTAGGCAGTGACATCCTGTGGGAGACAAGGAGGGGCTGGTGGGCTGCGGGGTGGGGAGAGGTGCCTCAGCCCTCGGGGAGGAGACACTCACATTGGGTCTGTTCCCAAAGGCGGCGTAGAAGGGTTGTCCGTGGGGCAGAAACAACTGCTGGATGTCGCTCAGGCAGGCGATCTTGAACACCTCTGGCTTCTTCTCAATCACCTCCCTGGGGAGCCGGGGCCAGGGCAGGGAAGGCAGCCGGGGAGGGGTAGCAATCGGAGGACGGCAGGGTCAGGTGACACTGGCCCTGGGCTGGCAGTGGGCCCGCACCCCCCCCCCCCCCAGGGCTGTGGGCTCGTATCGTGGAAGGGATTACCTGTGCAGGGGGGAAAAAAAGCTGCTGGGAGAAAGCAGGATGGGGCCCTTAGGGAGGGCGCAGCCCCGGTTGCTCACCCACTGTAGGTACCCCTTGGTGGAGGTCAGCCATGCCAATGGCCCGCGCTGAACAGTACAGGAACTTGTACCCGTTGCTGGGGGTGGAGACAGGTGACACAGAGCCATCAGGGACCAGGGGGCCTGGCGGGCACAGGGACAAGTGGCACCACCCATCCTGCCCTCTTGGCTTCAGCCAGCTCAGCTCAAGCCTCTAAACCCAGAGGCCTTTGCAGGGAGCGGTCCAAGAGAGCAGCTGGGCAGACCGAGAGGCAGCTTCGGGAGAGGGAGCATGGACAGAGTCCCAAGGCCCAGGTGGACCGAGATGGACAAGGGTGTGAGCAAGTCCGCAGACTTCCTCTGGAGCATGAAGTCCAGCAGTTAGACCCAGACCCCAGACCCCAGGGGAGGAGTCTTCCTCAGGAGGACTGGTGGGCGGGTCTCAGCACTCCAGCGACACGGCCAGCTTCTTCCTCTCTAGGCCATGCCGGTCCCCAAGCCTGGCTCCCCAGGGCCGAGGCTATAGTGGCCTAAACTGTCCTGTCCCTCCCTCCCCGGGGCCCTGCCCCAGCCCCAGCCCCAACACTCACAGGTGGATTTTGTGGTAGAGACTCGTGATGCCCTGGTGCGTCCAGTCTTTCCCCAGCTGGGGCAGAATGTGGCCCAGAGCGTCCGACCTAGATCCCAGAGGAGGGGTCACTCCAAGGCAGCCTCGTGTGGCCCTCATGTTCCATGCATGGGGCCCAGCTCCCAGCCCCAAGATGGTGCACTGGGGGGGCCTCTCTCCCTGGCCCCTGCCCCCCAGCACAGAGGGAGGCACATTTCCAGGCCCTCCCTTTCCCCCACCAACCAGGCCTCACTTGGTGATGGTACCATCGATGTCCGAGATGACCACCTTGTCGTCCCACTTCCACAGGTAGATGGTGGCCCTGCAGCGGCAGGTACCCTGGTACTGGGTCGTCACGCTGAAGACCACATCGTTGGCACCTTCTTGCAGGTTCAACTGCCGCTGAGGCCGGGCAAAGGTGGGGAGCTGTCATCAGCCACAGCCAGGCACTGTCCACCCCTTGCCACCCCAAACTGTGGCCTTCAATCCCCAGGCCTCTCCTTCCCCTCTCCTTCCCAGCTCAGAGAACCTGTCTGAATCCATCAGAGAGAGCCACGTGGGCAGAGGGTGGCCCCGAAGAGGCAGTGAGGGAGTGCTGGTGGGGCCCGAGCAGTGAGCAGTGCCGGGCACAGGAGCCCTAACCTCCCTCTGTGTTCCTTTGGGGTGAAGCTCGAGGACAAAGCCTGGCCCAAGGCTCCCACTCAAGTTTCTCAGGTCAGCCCCAAGGCTGGCATTGCCCTTGACAGGGAGACACCTCATGTATAGGAAGGCCCTTTGGGGATCATCACAGGCAGTCCCTGCCTGGGGCTAGGATACCTGTGACATCCCCAGAGAGAGACCCTAGCCCTTTCCTTGATCCACAGAGAAGGATCAGGGCAGCTCAGCCACAGCCAGCGTGAGTCCTGGTACCACACAGGTGGCAGCTGCTCTGTACCAGACCAGCCAGGCCCCCGGGCACCTCCCTGGCCATGGAGTCATACTCAGAGAGAAAACTTCCTTACTTCAGGAGCCACCCGTTACTGAGCTCAAAGACGCGAATCCAGGGCCAATCTGAAGGGCTGTCATCAACATTTGCTTCCAAGGGCTAGAGCGAAGCCAGCCCACCCACTGCAGGTTGATATTGTAGGCCTAGCGAGGGCTTCTCCAGTGAGGGCATTTGACAGAGAAATGGACTGGCAAGTAAAGAAGTGAGCCCCCTGCCCCTGGAGGTATTCAAGCAGAGGCTGTTCGGCTGCCAAAGGCTTGGATTCTGGGCTTTAGTGACTGTGGGGCTCTGTGACAGAGTTATCACCACCCCCACCATCCCACATGGACACACTTACGATCTGATCAGAGGAGAGGCGGAGGGACTTCTTGTAGGCAGGAGAGTAGGCTGGAGGCAAGGTCGGCAGGGAGGGAGCCTCAAGGATGACAGGGCTCTCAGGGGCGTCATCCTCGCTACTCAGGACATCAGTCTTCTCCCTGTGGGCAGCGCAGCTCTCAGGCACCTCCGCCAGCCGAAGGCACTGCACTCCCAGCAGACACCCCACCACCCGGGCCACAAGGAGCCTGGGCCTGTCCCTGCCCCTCCAGAGACTACCCAGGGGACCAGAAACTCCTCCCTCTAGGTGCCACCCATTTTGGGGGTGGGAGCAGACTAAGGTTGTGGGCCGGCAGGCTAGACCCAGAAAGGTGGTGGCAGAGCCGGAGCCAGGGCCCGGGCGCTCAGCCCTCAGTGCCTCTCCACAGCCAGGAGGCCAGACCTGCCTGGAGATAGTTACCTGAAAACGCAGAAATGTGTTTTAGGGTTTACGCCCAACCTTACCTGCTTTGGCTTCAGTTGATTCACCTTGGCCACCCTCTGCCCCCTCCCCCAACCCCACCCTGAACCTTGGGCATTCTGGCTCAGATCAGAGGCAAAAAAAGGAAGCAAGATCAGCATGCCCCTGGCGGAGAGGAGAGGCCCTGCCCTCCTTAATACAGTAACCCCTTGTCTGGGCCAGGAGTCTAGGCACCCATTCCAGCTCTGCATTTCTCGGCTGTAGGACCTTTGGTATATCTCTAAGTCTCAGTTTTCCCATCTGGGAAATGGGGGCATTTCTCAGGAGAAAGAAAGAGTGTAGGAGTGATTAGGGAGTGACAGAGAACCCTGGCTGGGGGAGGGGTGCCTGCACCACTCGGACCCTCCAACAGCAATCCTCCCCAACCCCAGCCAAGACAGCAACTCACCCCCGTGCCTCCCTGGCTGTGGTCTTCTCCCTCGGGGCACTCCTCTATGGGAAGAACATCCATCCAGTGAACAGTGAGCTCCTGCCTGGGCTGACCCCACC